TGGGCTTTGTTAAAATTGTTCAGAAATTAGCCTCTGAGACAGCTGTAGATTCTAGTTTAACCACATGATAAACTTAAAACTCTAAATGCATTGAGAGAGGATGGGAAATTACATATCAAGGTCTGCACATCTAAGTAATTCTGATCTCAGGTATATGACTGATCTTAAAACAGTACAGCCTAAAACTGGATAGTAAAACTTGATTACCTTGTCTGTTCTGCTAGTATTTCTTACAATGCTTCCAAATACAAAACCTACATTAATAGGTTTCCCTTCACCCAAGTCTCTCTCCCTCATCACCTCATCAGTCTTCTGCTCAAGATCATCAAATTTCTGCAAGATTCTCAGAGGATATTACAGAATTTTCAGTTTGTCCAAAGTAGAGTTTATCTTTGGCTCAGTTTTTGAGAGCAGGTTACACTTCTACTAGAGGAGATTTAACTGGATAGAGTGTCTACTAAAGAAACAAAAACCTGGAGTGAAAAACTAACAAGTTCTCATGAGCTTGACATATGGCAGTCCAAGAATATAGTACAGGAATAGCCAATCTTACTGACCTCCTGAGCAGCATACAATAATCTTCAGAAGTTTGAGATACTCAAGACACGTGCAACCTGCCCTGCAGATTGGTGCCTGCTATGGCACAGGAATAGTCCTGAAACCCCACAGCGCAGACGCCCCAACCTCTATCACCTCTACTGCAGGGCAGAAGCCCTGAGTTTCCCCCACCCAGTCTAGTGGGTGAACGATGTGAGGCGTAGGGGGCTATGTGAGTCACACTTTAACTGTAAAAACCACATGTGGCTCCTCAGCCAGTTTGGCCACATCTGATATAGTATGTGCCAATAACAGTAGGGATGTTAAATAGCGGTTAATTAACTAATTGAGTAGTTGACTACTCGATTAGTCAGTAAGGGGGGGCACTCACTACAGCCACTGTGGCTCTTCATTTTAAATGCAGTAAGAGCTGCTGGACTCTTACTACATTTAAAGTGCAGAGTCCCAGTGGTGTTAGCTCCTGGGACTGAGCAGTCCTGGCTCATGCTAGCTCCAAGACTGCTGTGGCTCTGCCATCTCTCCTCTTCCCCCGCATTACAGAGATGGTGCTGGGGGGAACCAGCTTTTAAGTTGGCTACCCCCAGTGCCCACTCCTGCGTCCCCCTTCCCTCCCTTGCTGCCTCTGATACAAGGTTAGTGGAGGAAAGGGAGAAGTGAGTAGTCATAAGAACATAAGAATGGCCGTACTGTGTCAGACCAATGGTCCATCTAGCCCAGTAGCCTGTCTGCCGACAGTGGTCAGCACCAGGTGCCCCAGAGGGGGTGGACCAAAGACAATGATCAAGCAATTTGTCTCCTGCCATCCTTCTCCAGCCTCTGACAAACAGAGGCCAGG